TCAGGGGACAGGGAGGCAGGGGGGGTTGGATGGGTTGGGGGTTTCTGTGGGGGGCAGTCGGAGGGAGTGGATGGGGGCAGGGTGGGGCTACCCTCCCTCCCCATGGAGTGTCCTATTTTTCGAATGTTAAAATACGGTATCCCTACTCACAGTGCAGCTCTCCATTCACAGCAGGCTGCAGCGTGAGGTCTCAGCGTCCTCCCTCCCTCCCCCTCTTTCCTGTTGGTAGTGGCCAAGGGAATGCTGGGAAATGTAGTTCTTTCCCTGCTCCAGGGCTGGCTCTATAGGCAGCGAGCTAACCAAGGAACTACAGCTCCCAGGGGCCCCTGTTGGTTCTCAGCTCCCAGGTTGGATCCCTGCCGCCCCTGCAAATGGGCTGCCCCAAGCACGTGCTTGCTTTGCTGGTGCCTAGAGCCGCCCCTGCGCAACACGGAGCCCCGCTGTGGAAATCGAACCAAGATGTGGAATCACATAGTGGTGGCAGCAGCTGTGGTTCCAGAAGGATGGGCTGCTCCACCCCGTATGTCTTCAGACCCTTCAGCCCTGGGTCTCACCAGTCCCCTTGGCCACAGAAATGGGCCTGGAAGGGCCTAGCACTTCGACAGTATTTTGCACTGCCCCAGCGTGGGTAGCAGTTAACTAATCAAGTCTCACAATACCCCGCTGAGGGGGGAAGGGATATGGCCCCACATAAATGCTTTAGGAATACAGAACATTGCAAAAATGCAGCCATCTCTGGAGTGGAGCACGGCAGCCGTTTAACAGCCTGCACCAGGGCTACACAGCAATTTGGGTCAGGAAATGAAGGAGGAGCCCATCTCCAGAAGAAACTGCAGTGGAGAAATCAAGGATGTAATTACCCATGTTGGTATTGGCTGAGACACCAGGGTTAACACCTTTGCTCCTAAGAAAAGTACTTCCCTGGCCGTGAATGGACAGGGCCTTTGTTTTATAATGGGAGTCAGAATTGTTAGAACGGATCAAAAAGCCATTCTGATACCCACACGCACCGTACAGTCAGAAAACCGGGGGTGCGGGGAGACACGGTTCAGGAAGTTTAAAATCAATAGAAAACAGTTCCAAAGACAGGTTTCAGAGTAGCAGCCGTGTTAGTCTGTATCTGTAAAAAGAACAGGAGTACTTGTGGCACCTTAGAGACTAACAAATTTGTTAGTCTCTAAGGTGCCACAAGTACTCCAGTTTCAAAGACTTGAACCTGACGTGGCTCGTGACCATTAGCAGGGGAACAGCAAGCCCAGTGCTAGAATGTGCTGCCAAGCTATGTGGTAGGGGATAAGCCATGGGACCCCGGTGACCTCCATTCTCAGGGTAGTTCCCATCTGTGCCCAGCCTCCAGAGAGTGAGCAGTGATGTCCTGGTGCATATGAGAAAGGCACATGGTCTGAGCCCAGGGCTAGGAGCCTGGAAGTCCTGAATGTGACTCCTAATGCTGATTCCAACTCCCTCTGGAAGTCACATCTCCTGTCTGCCTGCATTCCCTCACCTGCAACATGGCAATGACAATAACAGGACGATGAGCTGTATGTACACCACTGCCCTCTACTGGCGAGAATCAGGACTGCTTACATGTGCATCAAAGACCCGAGCTGGCCGGTGAGGATTCTCCTTTAGCTCAAGTAGGAAGCACACTCTGGTTTTAGAGCAGGAGGATGTGAGTTCTTACCCCACTGCTGCCTGGAAGTGCCGAGTGGTCTGGATAGCCCGTGTTGCATTGAGCAATAACTGGTGGTTAAATGGGTTCTCTCTGCCCTTTGCGGTGACTTTTTGTTCTTTTCACGGTGACCTCTCTGGGCCCCAGCCGCAGAGAGCTGGGGACGCAATGCTGCCATCAGAAAGCAAACAGGTTGCTGATCCTGATCGGCAGCACAGGAATGTTGGTGGGCCAGAGGGAGGGGAGGGGAGGGGAGGGAAGAGGAGGGCAGATGACCAAATTCACCTCTGGTAGCTCCCCTTGAAACCAATGGAGTTGCACCACGGCTGAATTTGCCCCATTCCCCTCTACAAAGCTTCTAAAGTCAGGTTAATCCCAGCGATTTATGTGGCGAGATCGAATGCGTGAATTAATGGGGCCCTGTGCACCCAAAGAGGTCCCCCAGTTTGGAACAAAGGAGCCCCACCCCTTAATAAAAACAACCACACATGAGCAAGAAAGAGCCAGGCAGAAGGTCCTGCTTCTGTCCTTCATCTTGGGCCTCATCTGCTGTGGATCCAGTCCGGGGGGGCGTTATTAACGAGCACTGGCTCCCCCCCTGCCTGCCCCATTTTGAGGAGCCTGCTGCCCCCTGAGGCTATCAAAAGGGGGTGGAGGGACCCGGCGTCAGGGAGTCGTTTGGCGGGATCAGAGGGCACGAGGGAACTGTGTAGCGTGTGTTCCTCCCGCCCAGCAGAGCCAAGGAGGAAGGACTCAGAGCTCTGACATTTGTATGTTAATGAACCAAATGTCCCTGCTGCAGCCCACAGGAGAACTGGGCTCCCTGCCAGCGAGTTCCATACTGCGGGGTGGGGGGAAGACACTGTCCACAGCAAATCCTGCTGAATCACTTTCTAGCTGCACTGGCAACGGCCTGCAGCTTTCTCGCCCTGACTCACCAGCTTTCTGGGAAGGGATCATGGGACAAGAAGGGTTGTGAAATGGGGGAGGCGGGTGCCTGACTGTAATCAGCAAGATGTCCCAAGACCAGGTATTTATCCCTCCCTTTTCAAATGACCAGGCCTCGGGTCCCTGCCCGGACAAGCAGAACAGGCTGCTCTGAGTGAAGCCAACTTGGAAGGAGAGAATGTTTATAGAGCAAGAAACTGACGAGGGCTGGATTGATTTCCCTGTGATTTCTCCGCTTTCCCTGAGCATGTTTGTGTTTGAAGAAGGGGTTTTGTTCCCTCTTCTGCTTTCCTCCGCTTGCCCGCGGGCTTCCAGTGCTCTCTCACCCCTTCTCTGCTTGCTGTCTCATCCTGCTTCGGTAGCTATTTGTATTATGGCAACTCCTAGGAACCCCAACTGAGAACAGGGTCCCGTTGGGCCAGGCCCTGCACGTGCCCAAGAGACAGTCCCTGCCCCTGGAATCCTTCTGCCAGGGGTTGCTGGCAGCAAAAAAGGGCCAGGGTGAATTTCCTAGGTGTCGTTTCTGAAAACTTCAACACCCAGAAACCTGGGAAACGATCTATACCACACTGGGATAGCCTGGCAATACCTCCCCACTTGCAAGGGGTTTAAAAACAAAGAACTTTATTGGGGGGGGGGGAGAGGAAGGATACAGGATAAATTGTGGAAAGCCAGCAATTAATAAATGAGCAACACCTATTAGGTAGGACCCTCCCCACACACAACCCTGAGTATCTTTGCAATAGCCTCAATCCGAGTTCTCCTCTGGTGGTTTGGAGAGGCTACTGCCTTTTAGCCATTTCCCTCCTCACCAGCTCCCCACTCACGGTTTGGTCAGCCAGGGCCCAAGAACTCTGGCAGCTCAGGCTCCAGCCCTGAAGGGAAATGCTGCTTGGAGAGCTCTCCCACTTGGCACCAGGGACCTGATTGCAGCTGTACTTGCTGGGTTGGGAGGCCCCCACCAGCGTCCCTCAGCTAAGCTCACGCTGCTCTCTCCGGCTTCCTTAGCACCATCGCCTGCCTGAGCTCTGTCTCCAGCTTCCAAACCACATGTTACCTTAGAGCTACCTCTGCAAAGTCTTTGGAGAGAACTCAGTGGCCCATAGAATGCTTAACAGAGTCCTTGTCCCTAGGGAAGCAATGGCACGTCCAGAAAGAAATACAGCCCCATTCTCCTCTCTCTCCTTACTGGTGCTTTGTCTAGGCACTGCTACCCATTTGTGCTGGACCATGCTCTCTCTCGGGGTGACCTCTCACCACAGGCACGTTCGGTGCAGTTCTTTTGTCCTGTCATTCCCAAAGACGGACAATAACATTATGTTGCCCCCAAACTCAACACTTAACTGTATTTTGATCAAAATGCCCCATTCTGCCACATAACAAATGCGAATGAAGCCTGGCCCAGTCACATCTCCTCTTGCTCACCAATAGATGGCAGCAGAGAGCGCCCTCTCCTGTGGCGCCTCTGTCCACCTGGAGTTCTCAAGCAGCTCTGAGTCGCTCTTCTGCCTGGTCACCAACAGGAGTCAATAGCAAGTTCCCTACACACTAGGGCTGCAGGGCATACACCCTGAAAAGGGTACAATGTAATAAGATAAATGCACGAGCGTGGGGAAACTGAGGCTCAGAGAGGGGCAGTGACTGGCCCCGGGTCACAAGCAAGTCAGTAGCAGACACAGAATTAGAACCCGGGTCTCAGTTCCATGCAGTATCCACAGGACACTTGCAGGCTGAGAGCTAGTCTGGTGTCTGGCATGCAGCACGTAATCATTACATTCCACCCATCTTCTCCTTGACTCGGGGGTCCAGCCAGTGTCCTTTGCTGTAGGATGCATAGAAAATACAAAGCAGCCGGTCTCCTCCCTTCGGGCCAGAATCTGATCTCAGCTACACCAGTGCAATTCACGGTGTTCCAGCAGCGTATCTCAGAGACGACATGGCTGGCCATTGGCCCATGGGGCTAAGACCATGCAAAGAAAGCGCCCCCAGCCCTCGCTCTGGGTTCTCCAGTAGGTTCCTCCCTCCATCCTTCCCCACTAAGGAAGCGAACATCCAGGTTTGGCGTGGCTGACGTGGCCCCTGAAGGCAGCAGAAGTGTCCAAGGATTCTGACGCCACTGTGGTCACGCCAGTTGGTATTTTTTGCCCGGCCGCCCTGAGGATCATTAGAGAGCGGGGCCGACATCATTCACCCAGCACCGCCTGGTCATTTCCACTGGAGGATGGGCAGAGGCAGTTTAGACTATGCAGGGCCCAGATCCACCAAGCTTTCCACAACAAAATCAAAATCACAACTCTTCTCTTCCCCACCCAGCACTCCCTCTTCCTTCCAGCCCCACTGAGCCCCTAGCGGTTCTTCCCCTGCCCCCCCAGCCTGGATTCCTGGCTGGTCACAGCTCCATAGGGCTGCTCGGACCCTAACACCTGCATCCCATCTCCTAGGTGTAGAACATCCTGCAGTGTGCACGCCGACCTGCCCCAAGGGACGAAAGGAGCAGGACAGTGCCAAGGGACCCGTGCTGCATGTTAAGGAGAAGGGGGGGTGCCCAGGTGTGGACCCACGTGCTGCAGCACAAACTTGGCCCCCATCACCTCCGCCCTGCATGCTTCATTTGCAAATCAGAGGCCACCTCTGTTAGAATCAGGCCCCCGCCTACCTCCCGTAGGATCCCTGGAGAAACATCAGTCAAAGCAGCGAGCCCAGCCCACACCCCCAGCAAGGTTTTCCTCCTGCCCGTGGGGAGCTGGTTCCAACCCCAGAACGTTCTCCGGGCTCCTAGCCCTCCTCTGGGTTGAGTCACTCGCTAGGCTCCTTGAGTCTCTTCCTTCAGCACAGAGTCGTAAACCCGAGAAACCCCAGCAGCCAAAGGGCCCGTGTCAAACCCAGGCGGGATAGTCACAACCGCGGGCCAGGCCCCTGAGTTAGGCTCCGTTGCACACGTGGGAGCAAGTGCTATTCATGGATCCTCACACACTCCAGCTAAGCTTGTTCATTACACGGGCGGCACATGGGTTCTTCGCCCAGGAGCGCAGGGTGAGCTTGTCAGGTTACATTCATGCACCGGTTTTAACACAGGCTTAAATGGCACCGTCACGAGACTAGAACATAGACTCCAGCCATTTTTTCTTTTCGGCAAGCCCAAAAACTAATTGGAAGAGTTGGCAAAGCTGCCAATGCCCTGATTTTGACCGGGCCATTCTTAAAGTCGCAGGATTGGTTAAAACAATAAACAGCTGCCACCCCTCAATCTCTGTTGCCTCGTGCTGGAAGGAGGTTACGCCATGCCTTGGCACGGGTAGAAACTCGGGGTGTCTCCTCACCTACAGCCGCAGATTTTCAAAGCAGAAAGATGGTTGTGTGATTAAGGTATTCGCCTAGCACTCAGGATAGATGGGGTCAAGTTTTGCTTCGGTCACAAATTCCTTCGGGCCAGTCACTTTTTGCCTCAGTTTCCCAATCTGTAAAATGGGGATCGTTCAACTTCCTTTCTCCCACCCTTTGTTCGTCTCGACTAGTTAGCCAGTGAGCGCTCTGTGGCCAGGATCGTCTCTTACACCCAGCACAGCAAGGGCTCTATCTCAAGTTAAGCCCCATCATTCATATTTAGCCACCTAAATAACCACTTGATTTTCAAAGCGTAGCCCTGGGAGTGGTGGGGCCAGCATCTTGGAAAATCAGGCTGCCGATTTAGCTGCCAAACCCTGGACTTAGGAACTTTTGAAAAAATTACCCTAAGTGAATTAGAAGCCTAGGGACAGATTTCCCAAGGTATTTAGGGACCCGAAGATGCAGCTGTGCACCTAATGGGCTTTTCAGAAGTGGCTGGCTGCCTAACTCTGAACTCAGAGGGGGTTGGGCACCCAAATACCTTTGTGAATCCCCTACCCCCCAGGTGGCGAGTTGCATCTTTAGGCATCTAAATACCTGTTAAAATTTGGCCCCAGCAGCCCACCTCCCATTGAAAGTCAGTGGGACTTAGCTGCATTTTGGAAATCGTAGCCTTAGCTAACCTGCTGGCCTCCAGGTTTCAGAGATTTGGCCTACGTCTCAGTTCTTTCAGCCTCAAACAGCCAAGTTGCTTCCACTTTAAGAGCAGAACGAACCCCACAGCAGAGCACGGTCTCCTCCCACTCCAGTCCCCAACCCCTGGCCCATCTGCTCTCTTTCTCCTGCGTGGAGATGACTAATTCTATCCTCAAAAAGAACAGGAGTACTTGTGGCACCTTAGAGACCAACAAATTTATTAGAGCGAAAGCTTATGCTCTAATAAATTTGTTAGTCTCTAAGGTGCCACAAGTCCTCCTGTTCTTTTTGCGGATACAGACTAACACGGCTGCTACTCTGAAACCTAACTCTATCTTGTTTATAGGACCCACCGTTGTGGCTTTTAATCGGTAGCATTAACTCCTGTGTTTATTCTTTGGGGTGTGAAATACGTCTGCCCTCGCAGCCGCTTTCTCCCCCCACCAGCTTTCTGACCCTTGCAACTTCCCAGCCCGAGCGAAAGCCCCCCAGAGTCGGCGGAAGGACGCCGAGTGACTTCGGACCAGGGCCCCAAGTCTGAACAAACCCTTCTCCAAACACTCGCTGCTGCAGGGAGAGGAAGAAGTCAAGGCAGGGTCGCTGGGCCTGCTAGTGATTAGACTAGGGGGTTAGCCCAGCAGCTGGAAAAATCAAACCACATTTTCCTTCTAATTTGCTGGAGAGGGAAGTCTCCCTATTACAGTTTAGGGATGTCAGGACGCTCAAGTTAACCCTTGGGGTGCTGCCTAATGGAGCTGGTCCAGGAGTTGGTAATGAATCCCTAGTGCCTGCACTACACACAGTCACCTAGAAACACTGGGATGGCACTGCCCACTGGACCGTCTGATAAACCCCCCTGCCCCAGCCCCCTGCCTTCCTCCCCAGCGCTGCAGCGCAGCCCGGCAGCCAGGGGGTTAACGGGCTCGCTCTCTGGCAGGAATGCGTTTGGGGAAGGGATTCTTCTCCAGCCCCTTCGCTGCTCCCAGAAGAATGTGATGAATCGAGGGTTTCCAGACCGGCTTTGCGCCGTAATTGCTGTAAGCCGTCGCCACATGGAATCCAGCCCGGCCGCCCCATCCCCGTCCCGAAAGCCAGGCCGGATAGGAACCCGCGCTGCCAGTCTGGCCTGTTCTGCCAGCCTCCGTTAGCAGAGGTGGGTTGGACACCAGGGCGGGGGAAGAGCATGAGTGGAGATGGGGAGGAAGCACCCACTAAAGTATCCTCAGCATCACCAACTCAGAGCCTCCAGTTCAACTCATCACTCCAGGGGCTAAAAATGCGGCCAAGTCTAGCGGACGGAGCAGAGGACCGGGAGCCAGGAACTCCTGCTTTCTAACCCCAGCACTGCCACCTGCTGGCCAGGGAACTGCGTAAGCACCTTAGCAGGAGGCAAACTGCCAGGTAGGCGTCTTTCCTCATCGGCTTGTCCGTCAGTGACGTCACTAGCTCAGCACAGCTGCTCCTCCCGCACTCCACGCGGGTGGGTGGCTAGTCCGCCTTACCGTGGCATTAGGGCTTTGCATTAAGAATGCAAGATTGCAAAGCTGGGGGGTCGGGGGGGAATATTTTGGACGGCTGTTGGAGATGGAGGGTTGGAGCCGGCTGGCACCAGCGTTGCAGCCGGGAAAAGGAGTACATGAGACTTTAACTGCTTATTTCCATTCTTTAAAGGTCAGGGGGCGAGTGGGGCGTGTCCCAGCATCACTAAACCCAGTCGTCACCAGCAAACGTCCGAGTTTTTTATCCTGCTTCGGTGCCCCTCCGTGCACGGCTCCCCTGGGGCCAGGAGAAAGGGGAGTTGCACCGGCCTGGGGATTAGCAGGTGAAACAGCCCTGCTGACTGATCTGTGCATCTGTAACGTGTTAGCCCCGTTTAAAAATGACTGGACGTAAGAGCAGCCCTTCGCGGCGAGCAGGGAGAACATCCGCTGGAGGAAACGTCCTTGAAGGAGCCCGTCAGCACTCATCTTCCAAAATACTCCACGGCCTCACCTGGACTGGGCCCAGGCAGGGAGCAAACCAATGACCTCCTGAGCGAACAGCACGAGTCTGTTTGTACAGCTTGTATAAAAGAGTCAGGCTCTCAAGCCGAGAGGAGTCATAGACTCACATCCTCCGTAGGTAATCATCCGACCCCCACCGACCCGGTGGATCACACACGCAAAAACTGAAAAATGACAATCACTGAAATGTGCGCCTGAGAGTGATGCACCCCGTAATTTACAGATTGTCATTTTTCAGGCTAAAGTCTGTTTTTAAGCGGTATCAGATACAACCCTCCCCCCAACCCCGCCCTGTAGATCAGCAGCAAGATTTAACCCCCTTGCCTGTCCGTTCCCTGGCTTTGACCCTTACCACTTGAGCTACAGACGTAGCAGCTAGCCCCTTTCCAGACCAGCAGTTGGAGGAGGATGTAACCCACCTATTACTCAAGGGTTACACCATCATTTCGAAGGCAGCAGTCGACTTCTCGTGCTCAGGAATCCTGATTCTATTCTCAGTTTAGGGGGAAGGCGTGTGGGTAGAGATAGGGCAACCAATGCTCTGAAAGGCAGCATGGTGCAGCAGATAACACTGGAGGTCTCCTCTTAGAGCACTGGGTTGTGGGCCTGCCATGACCTTGCGTAAACTCTCTGCTAGCTTATTTAAAAAATGGAAGGAGGGGATTGGTCAGGAGCTCTTCCCTAACAGTCTTCGAGGTGGGGTTCATGGTCTTAGTTCATAGGAACTGCGGAAGAGGCGGGAATTGAAACAGCGCTTCAAAGAGGTGAGATTTGAACTCATGGTTAGAGCTGGGTGAATAACACATTTTTCTAGTTTTCTGCAATTCCAAAAAAAAAAAAATGGAAATATTTGGACAAAACAAACATTTTGGACAAAGCAGGACGCTGCTGTTGATACACCCAGAAGGATATTAGCCTTTTTTGCAACTGCGTCCCATTGTTGACTCATATTCACCGGCGTTCCAGTAGAACTACCAGATCCTTTTCAGCAGTAACACCCCCAGCCAGCGAGTCCCCAGTTTGTCGTTGTGCATTTGCGTTTTCCTTTCCAAGTGCTGGACTTGGCCCTTGTCTTTACGGAATTGCAGCGTGTGGAATTCAGACCAATTCTCCAGCATGTCAAGGTCGTTTCGATTTCTAATCCTGTCCTCCAAAGTGCTCGCGACCAAAAGTGTGTGTCTCATCGAACCCCTGTGCCGTAAGCACTTCCAACCGGCCGCAGAGTTTATGGTCTGTGCCTCGGGTTTTGCCATTTCGGTGAGATTTGTAGAGAAGAAAGAGTTAAAGCTGAACTCTAACTTTAACGACAGTGCAGCTAAGGCTGCCCCATTAGAAAAAGATCCCTGATCTTAATGGGACCGAGGGAACATCAGCTTGTGGGTGGGGTGCAGGCAGCCTTCTCCCTCGGGCAGGTCGGAGTTACAGCTATTTAAGGGTCTAGGCCAGGGGTTCTCAAACTGGGGATCGGGACCCTTCAGGGGGCCGTGAGGTTATGTGGGGGGTCGCGAGCTATCGGCCTCCACCCCAAACCCTGCTTTGCCTCCAGCATTTATAATGGTGCTAAATATATAAAACAGTGTTTTTAATTTATAAGGGGGGGGGGTCACATTCGGTGGCTTGCTATGTGAAAGGGGTCCCCAGTACAAAAGTTTGAGACTCACTGGTAGGATGCATGGCTGCTTTTACCCCCTGCAAGGGCCACCTGACAAGGTATTTCCTCCTGCAGCTGCCAATAGTCAGCAAAGCCCAGCACAGGCAATCAGGGGACTCGACTTTTTCCCCTACAAGCAGTTTGGGGCAGGAGAGGGAGGCTACAGGGTGGGAGTCGCTCAGAGCTGTCAATTGCCCGAGGCAGAAGGGATTGGAATAATACACAGGAAGCAGTAGCCACTCTCCCTGCATCACCCAGGAGCAAGAGACACCGGTGGTCTCCACCCCAGGCCAGGCCAGAGGCGTAGAGCTGGTTGGGAGCTTGTCCACTAAAGGTGTTTCCATTAAAAAAAAAAAAGGTAGATTTGTTAAAACCAAATCTATCCCCAAGAGAGGGGCGGCTTCGACAGATTTCTTGACTTGAAATTTTTGGAATTTTTCCCCCCGAAGCTTGGCCAGTTGTCCCATGTGGACATTTTCTGAATGAAAGGCTCTGGCTAATTTCAGCTCATTACATTAAGCTAATTTCAGCTCATTAGAGCAAAAGAAATCACAAATAAAAAGTCAAAAGTGAAACAAAACGTTTCAATTGACCAGAACTGCCCCCGCCTCCCCCCCAGATTTTTGGTTTCTGAACATATTCAAGATTTCTACTTATCGTCCGGCTGCGAGATGGGAAAATTGTTCAAAGTCTCAGTTTTCACAGGAGGAGAAAACCAGTTCCCACCCAGCTCCCCTGGGAGGTTTCCTGCAATCGAGCACGCAGGGTAAAGAGCAGCGAGGGCTGGGGGCCGTTTGAGTGCCAGCCTTCAATTCTGGAACCAGCGGAGCCCAAGAGTTTGAGCAGTTTTCCAGCATGCCCCTCAATCCCAATCTGTGGTGTTCCCTGCTCTTCTAGACATGGGGCCCACCCGGGGCTCTGCCAACCCCAGCCAGTCCTGATACTCCTGATCCGCCCCACCATGGCCCCCAAGCGCACACGGATCTGCTGATGTCCCTCAATTCCAACTCACAGCCTCGCACAACACAGCCCTGCTAAGCTGTATTTGCAGTCCCTGTTCTTCCAGACCCAGAGTCTCCAATCCAACTCTGCCAATGCACCTCATGGCTGACCTGCAGCCCCCCCGCTCCCCAGTTATTCCAGCCCTGGCCTCCCTGTGCGGAGTTACCCCCCCCCCCCCGCATACCCCAGGCTTTCCCAACATTGACTTTGTCCCGTCTTCAGACACCCGCATGCGACAGAAGAGCCCAGCGGCTTCTCCTCTGCCAGGAGAACGCCCACAGGCAGGGGCCTGACCTCACCAGCCAGTGCCAGGGCCTGCAGGGGAACCCAAATCGCACCTTGACCATGAGCACTTCGCAGGCATGTATTACGCCTCGCAGCACACGCCCCCATCCCCCACTGTCCCGCTCTAGCATCGCACCAATTTGCAGATGGGTAAATGAGGCACAGGGAACAGCAGAACAGAGGCGCCTAACCTCTAGGCAACGCTGCCCTCCCACCCCCTATGGCGGGGCCTTTCTAGGCAGGATTTGAAGCTGGGGGGGGGGGCGGGAAAGGAGGGTTAGGAGTGGTCAAGGGCTCTCCTGGATTCATGCATAAAATTACCTCAAAACAGCCTGAAGGGGAGGTGCCCAAATGCTGAGCCCCGACCCCTGCGCCTCCCCCCTGTGAATGTTGCATGCTCCCCAGCAGGGGGCAATGGAGGGAAATTCCAGCTTCTCCTGGGGACCACTTAGGCCGCCCTCCACCACCACTGGGAGTGCGGGCAGAGGCAGGCAGTGCAGGAATGGGGGGGAGAGGGTTTCACGCCCACCCTCCCTCACACGTGCCAAATGCCTCTCGCTCTACTAGAGCATCTCCATCCCCGGGTGCCACCATCAGTAAGACGGGAGGTAGTGTATGGCCTAATGGATAGCGTACTGGCCTGGGACTCAGAAAACATGGGTTCTAGTCCAAGCTCTGCCGTTGGCCTGTGGGGGTGACCCTGGGTGAGCCATTTCCCTTCTCTGTGCCTCAGTTTCTCCATCTGTAAAACAAGGATAATGACACCCACCCACTTTGTAAAGGGCTTTGCCATCTACTGATAAGCATAAGGTATCTCATCCACAGGGGAGCTTTAGGCCAGGCGTCGGGGGCCCTGGATTCTGCTACTGACTTGCTCTGGGATCCACCGCTTGCCCTGGAACGGCAAGATCCAAAATAAATTGGAGCAATCAGAGTCTAGTGGAGAGAGCACTGGACTGGGAGTCATGACTCTCTGAGACACGCGGGCTGACTCATTTCACCTCGGGCCTCAGTTTTCCCCATCTGTAAAATGGAGCTAGCCAGTACTTTGCCTCATGGGAAGGGTTCTGTTAATGAGCCATTTCCTCCACTGTTGGATTCTTTCTAGTAGTCCCATCCACAGCGTAAGGACACTAGATGCTGTGGCCACACTACAGCATCCAGCCATCTGCATGGATGCAAACTCCCAGCACAGATACTGCTGTGATTTGCACCACAGAGCAAAGGAACCGTCCTTAAAACTAGGGCTGGCTGCACTGGTACAAATCAGAGTTTGTAGCAGTTCCTGCTACGACCTGGCCCTGCTGCTGCTACACTGCCCTCCAAGTGCACGCCAATTACAACAAATTCCCCTGCTCTCTCATGATGGTCTCAGGCAAACATATCCTATAAGGGATCTTGGCCCCCCCAACTGTTCCAGCCCATTCACCGGGATTACTGGGAACAGTCGGGTGGAGGGAGAAAAAGGGTACAAGAACTCCTAGAGTTCTCAGAACTACAATCCCACACACAACAGAGGCAGGAAGCCTTCAGCAGTTTAACCACCTCATTAGCTGTGCATGTCTAAGTTGCCTGGAAGGGAGATCAGCCCCTGACATTGATTAAACGGGCTCTAGGTTTTCCCCCCACTCCTCCACCCAGCAATAAGACACCAGGGTGTCCAGTTAGAGAACATCGCAGGTTTCATGGGGTTAACTGGGCTGAGAGAGGGACTGAGAATGGGGCATTTTGCCTTTCCCCTCTAAGTCACTCATCCATGTAAACTCTCCCTTGGGGAAGGTGGTTGGGGGTTGCTCTGTGGGGAGAGAGACCCTTACTCAGTGCTTAATTTGTAATGAAAGAGGTGCCGAGGCTCAAGCAATTATTTGACATTCATAACTGATGCAGGAAGCCCAGAGGTGCCCGGGGCTATGACCTGCCAGGCCTGGAGGTGCCCGGGGTATGACCTGCCAGGCCCGGAGGTGCCCAGGGCTATGACCTGCCAGGCCCGGAGGTGCCGGGGCTCTGAACTGCCAGGTCCAGAGGTGCCCGGGGTATGATCTGCCAGGCCAAGAGGTGCCGGGGCTCTGAACTGCCAGGCCCGGAGGTGCCCGGGGTATGACCTGCCAGGCCCGGAGGTGCCCGGGGCTACGACCTGCCAGGCCCGGAGGTGCCCGGGGCTCAGCCCTTCCTGCCACTGGCTGCCCTCTATAGGGGCTCTCGGCAGCGGGGTGGGGCATGGAGACCCAGGACCCCTCTCAGGTCAGTGGGGGGCCAGTTGAGCACACAGGCCAGGCAGCCAGGCAGGGTGGAGGAACTTGCCCTGCTGCTGCCCAAGCCGGCCCAGCGCTAACGGCAGGTCTCTGTTGAAAGCGTAAAGACAAGGCCTTATAAAGAGTAGCTTCCAGGCCTTTCTGCCAGAACGCAGCTGGCGCGAGCACGTGCTGGACGCTGGCGCTGCAGGGGGCACATGTCTCTCTCCCTGCCTGGGTTGAAGAGTTGGAGAAACTCAGCCCCCCTTGCAATTTCAGCAGTTAGCCACTAGGTGGCGCTAGGAGCTAAACCACCAAAGCAAAAAAAAAAAAAACTACTGACTCAAACTTTATTCAAGCCTAAAGCAGTGGGTCTCAAACTTTTGTCCAGGGGACCCTTTCAGACAGCAAGCCTCCGCGTGCCACCCCCACCGTATAAATTAAACACTTTTAAATGTATTTAACATCATTATAAACGCAGGAGGCAAAGCGGGGTTTGGGGTGGAAGCTGACAGCTCGTGACCCCCCATGTAATAACCTCACGACCCCCTGAGGGGTCCCGACCCCCAGTTTGAGAACCCCTGGCCTACAGTTAAGCACATAGCCTGATTTCCAGAGGTACTGAGCAAACTCCAAGTGCCCAACTCATAGGAACCCTAGTCCTGGGGCGGGAGCCGCACCCATAGGAACGGGGGTTCCTATTGGTAGTCCACCCAC